ACATTTTGGCAATAAGAAAAGGTGCAATGTGTTGACATTTTCTTAAAAATTGTACTATTAACATTTAAAATTGAAACTAAATTGTACTGTACACGGGACATGTGCAAAGGGATCAATTATATTTTCAGGTCATTTTCAAAACAAAAAATACCAAACGGTATTTATTGAAAAATTGTACATTTAATTTCAAATTGTACTACGTTTGTACATTTAGCAAATATGCAATATGATGCCTCAAAAAGTGTTACCGCACATTTTCAATTCTTCAGCGGTGTCATTTCTAACAATTGTACAAATATAGTACTTTTCAAAGGCGCGCTCTGAGCAAAATCCCGATTGATTGCAGGCAATGTGGTGAACAAGCCGGAACAGGGCGCGCTGGACTGGGTGAAAATCTCCGTAAAAAATTGTACAGCTGGCATTTTTCAAATCCCATCGAAAATTCCATTGTTTCAAACGGTATTTATTTAAAAATTGTAGAATTCATTTCAAATTGTACTCCGTTTGTACATTTAGGAAATATGCGATATTTACCGCCAGTTTTTTATAGAAATGTACAAAATTAAAGTATACGCCCCAAACCATTAAATCTTTAAAATAATATCCAAGACAATCGCAAACCAAACAAAATAAACGTTTCTCCCGAACTTTTGAAAAATAAATTAATAGTCTTTTAATGAAAAACTTGGACTATACAAATACAGAGCAAAAATGACGTAGAAAACTCTAACCCCGAAGAGCAATTATTTGCAAATTTGCATGTTAGACGGCCAACCCTGGCGGTATGACGTCACTCGCGAGTAACTCATTGTATTTGTGCGTAAAAAAAATGAATTGTACAATCGAATGAAAGGCGTACATTAACAAAACGAAGGTTTCGAAATTTTTAAAAAACAAATAAAAATGTCCAAAGTGAAGCAGGTTGAAAATTTCCGTAAAAAATTGTACAACTGGCATTTTTCAAATCCCATCGAAAATGCACACCATGATGTTCCAAACTTCAAACAGTTGGACAATTGTCTGACTAAATGTAAACTTCGGGCAATAAAAATTCACATTTTGGCAATAAGAAAAGGTGCAATGTGTTGACATTTTCTTAAAAATTGTA